GTGACAAACTAAATACATTTTTAGTATCCATAGGAGATGATTTAAAGCCTTTACAGGTCACCAGTTTAGATTTACACAGGGGGTCTAGTGCTAGAATTACTGCCCTTGATCTAACGTTCACGGTGTCACCTCGCATGCAGTTTAGATATCGAAATGGGACAGCTGCTTGCATTTGCCTTTGCGTGCGAGCATGGGGATAGGGGGAGGGGATGAATTTATTTTATTACTATTTATTTTTATTTTTTTTACACTGTCTCTTTAATTTTTTGTTTTTGTAATTACTTTTACAAATATCCCGTGATCTCAATATGCAATGACAGGTACTCTTTTCTGAGAAATCTGGGGTCTATTAGACTCTAGATCTCTCCTCTGCCCTTAAAGCATCTGATCACACCAAGATTGTTGTGATCAGATGCTTTCCAAATTTTAAAATGGCGCTGTTTACATCCGGTGAAACGGAAATGAAGAAATGCTCATAGCTTCTGTTCTCTTAGCCTATAGAGATGACTGGAGGCATTCTGGTCTCCAATCAGCTCTATGGTCAGCCAGCGGAACTGCCAGCTGCATTCTTGGATTCCCCTGTGGGACGGGAGAGCCCAAGAAAACCGTGGAAGGCGGTGGGAGGGGGGAGTGGACATTCCTTCCAGCTGCTTGTAAAAGTGATCCAGCAGTTAATATCATTCTTTTTTGTAATGCCAATGTTGAGGTTTAGGCCCAAAAAAGTTTTAAATTCAGAAACTGTGATAGATTTCCATGCGTATTGTCTGGCAAGAGCTGAATTTTGGTGGGCAGAGATGTGTTGTTGTGCATATAAATTGCTTTGCCCCACAATCAGTTGATACAAATCTTTTGTGAAAAACAACGGAAGGGCTAAACGCTAGTACTGGCAGAAACTGCATTTTTGGGGACACTATACAAAGGCGGCATTAGCATAATTCTGTTCGTGATTAATATATTGATCCATACAAACAGTATACTAGTAATGGTGGGGATCAGCGACCTATAGTGAGAGTGCGATAGTGTGCGGGCAATCTAACGCTAGTTGAACCTGGCTGGGAGGGGATCTTACAGACCTTGATGCTATCTGATGTCGCAAGTGGCAATAATACAGTGATCAGTAAAAAATTCTATATACTGACATTGTACTAATGTCACCAGCTGGGTGACAGGGTGATCAAAGTGTTAATAAGGGTGATCAAAGGGTTAAATGTGCTAATCTAATGTGTCTGTAAATTGTAGTGCTTTTACTCAGTGCTGTGTTCTCTCTTCTCTCCCTGGACTGGCCTAGGTAGCAGCGGGGGGTGTCGCACGCACACCTGGAAATAGAAAGCGAAATAAGGGTACTTTACTTTGCCCAGAGCCACCGCTCACCCGCACATTGTGGCAAGTAGTTAAAAAAATATCTTTTAATATCTTTATTTTTTTAAACATTTCTTTTTTTTTAAAATACTTTCATCAGAGTGATACAATGTTACCATAGTAACATTGCACTACTCTGGGATGGGTGATCAGGGATCTTCTTCTTTTTTTTTTACACTTTACATTGCAGGAGCAGTAAAGATTATTGCATCTGCAATGCAATGTTTGCCTTGAACTGTCATGAATGGGTTTTGATGACAGCTCAAAATACATTGATCTGTGATTGGCTCCAGCTGGTCACATGGTACAAGGTGCTGTGATTGGCCCCATGTATCATGTGAGAGCTGTGGGCCAATCACAGCTCACCAGGAAGCGAAGCAGAGCTGTTATGAATCAGATTGATTCCTACCAGCTTTGTTGCATAGCAATCACATGACCACGGGGTCCCATTCACCGGGATTTTCATTCAGCTGTGTCCAGTGGACACTGCAGACGTTGGGGAGGGTTGTGAGCACACTCGGGCACACAGCGTTACCCCCCCCCTCCCGGTCCTGTAGCTGCTGCCCGTCCACAGTACATTGCGAGGGGGGGGGACAGACAGAAAGTAATTAAAGAAAGAAAAAAAAAAGCTACTAATATAAAATTTAACCCAAACTGTTGTCTTTTTATTTTATTGTCTTCTGCCATACAGCTCAGGTCTGTGGCCAGTTTTGGACATATCCCTTAATATAGTAAAAACCTCCACTATCATCCAGTTTAGATTCATCACTTTTGCAGAAATTGTGGCTTTATAATGATCAGAAAATGCTGGCTGTACATTTTGCTATTTACAAATGTGCCATTAATAAATCTGATCTGGCGGCAGTGCAGAGAGAGACGTGCAGGCTTTCCTTGTGAGCAGAATCCAAAATCAGCATTTTATAACACTGATGACTGCAGAGCATAGTACACATGACAAACATATGAAGTTTGACAAAAACAAATTTGTCATGCTATAAGCATTTGTATGTTGACATCGGTCTCGTGCTAGTGTGTGTTTTGCTTCATTGCAAAGCCATTGTGAGGTCAGATGAGGCCCTTGGTAGGGCTGTGAGTGTGAGTCAAACTTTTTACAGCTAAACTGCCAATAAAGGAATCCCATACAAAAAAAAAAGAACACTCAACGCTCCTGCTGTCTGTGCCACCAATATGCTGCCTCACTTATTCTTAGTTGAGCTTCTGAAACTTTTTCTTTGTTTGGCTCATGTATACTTCATACCTTATTGAACAATCAGGCTGCATTTTAATGCATAGTTTTCTTTTTTATTCTGAATCCCAACTCCATGATGTTTTTTTTGTTAAAAGTGATACAGTAGGTTAATGTAAACAAAAAAGGTACTCTGGCTCCACTTTCCCCCCCCCCCCCAACAGTAGTTCCACTAGATGCCCAACATCATTCAACCTGGAGAAATAAGGTTGCCGAGCATCATGGACCCGTCCCCTGTGGAGCATCCCTATGGTGCCCTTCACTCACAGTGTAATGATACATTACACCAACATCACTTTCTAAATCATTAAGGACTTCACCACCAGGAGAAGATCTGAAGAGGAAGAGGATCCTGCACATCAAATGACTGAACTGAACATCTTTTGCTGGTGCCATGTAGGTCTCCTGCAGATCTGTCAGTATATCTGCTTGCCTGTACGGGGATATACGGGCAAGCAGATATACTGAAAGGAAGAATAAATTATTGCCATCACACTCCACAGTGCCATGGTAGTTCATTGAGAACTACAAGCCGACAGCCGCAAAAGCTGTCAGGACTTTCGTTCATAGAACACTGTGAATTTATGACATGCCCATACAGGTGGAGCCCTGCAAGGCCGTGTTCAAATTGTGACTGCTAGTGGGGAGGCTAGCTGTCACAATGAGGAGCTGGGAGGAGCAAGTGGCGGTCCATTTGTAACATGTTACACCCTGCATATGAGTGTGTAACATGTTACAAAGGTCAAAAGGTGAACTTATCATCTAAAGGCAAAAAACAAATACATGTGGGTCTCATTGGGTAAGAAAGGATCATGGGGAATGGGGGGTAGATTCTAGAGTTGGGCTTTAAAGCTGAAATCTGTGCTGGAACAATAAAATATCCTCAGAGGTCTCAATTTTTAGTCCTCTGGGGGGATATCAGGTGGGTGGTTGGATTCTTGGGTATGAGGACAAAAGCCCATCAATAATCTGATCAGCAGAGGGGCCCTTTAGAGTGTGTAGTGGGATAGTGGTGTGCCTATGGTGAGGTCGGATTCATGATGTTGGATAAATAAAGAGCTGTTATTTATTTAATATCATGACTATGACCTATCCAAAGACATACCGCTATCCCATTACCCACTCCAACAGGCTCCTCTGCCAATCAGATGATTGCCAGGCTTTTTGTTCTTCTCCTACCTAAGAATCCTACCACACACCCAAAAGATTCAAAATCAAGACCTCCGAGGTATCGAGAGTGACTGCTGGGCAAAAATTTCCACCTCCCGGGTTCTGGTAACTGGCGGGATATCAAAAGACTGGCACACCGGAGCAGGACTCCCGGCAGCGGCAACAAGCTTATCCTTCTTGGAGACAGGAGTTACCTCCATCTGCGAACACGTAGGGTTGTGTGCCTTACCTCGTAGGGTGACTGCTATCTCACCAGATGTACAGTAAGTTACTTTGTTTTTCTTTTTTACCTTACATCTGTATTTTTTACTTTGATTCAACAACTCTAATACTATCACATACGTGTATGCAGGGCCTGAGATGACGTGCGTGGCCTCCTGCACAGTTCCTGTCCAAACACATCTGCATGTTGAGACAGGGTCTGCAAAAGCGAAGTAAAGGCACAAGTGTCAAGGTGTAGTGTTAGGAAATTAATAGAGCTAATGCTCATTCAGCACACAGACGAGCTCGGGCTAGCATCCAGTGTGCACTGACAAGTCAACGCATTTGTGTGCACCAAAACACATCGGCGTGTATGTCCACGGGCATTTGCGCCGAGCTACCTATTTAAAAGAGACTCCGTGTTTCCTGCGTTCCAGTTTTTTGTTGACTGACCTTCCTTCAGGCCCGATAAGGCATCAGGCCGCCGTAGAGGCATCAGCCGAGTAGAGGCTGTCAGGACTATCTGACTCGGCTTGTTCCTGACTTTGCTCTGTGGATTTTTGGATACCAACCTTGGCTTGCCTCTGACTTATCTCTGCCTGCTTCCCTGGTAATGAACTCAGCTTGCTACTCGACCTTGCTCTGCCTGCCTTCCTGATACTGACTTCAACCTGCTTCTTGACCACGCTGTTGGCTCACTGTGTATGACTCTGGTTCACGACCCTGACTATGTCTCTGATCATGGCAGTCACCTTGTCAGGGTACGCCGCGGCGTCTCGTCCGGCGCATGCGCAGTCTCGGCAGCTCGCGCCGGGATACTTGCACTAGGTCCCAGCCGGCCGTGGCTGAGGGAGACCCGCGCATGCGCAGTAGGCGCCGCGAGTACATGCTGGGCGGCCAATGACAGCGCAGGGCACGGTATTTAAGGATGCCCTGCGCTGTCACACACAAATCGCCGCAAGGTCTTATCCTGTTACCTGAGTTCCTGTACCCCTGTGATTGTGTTATTTTGACCCAGATTGCCCTACGCTGCCTTCTCCTGTTTTTGACCCGGATTGCCCTGACTACGCTGCCTTCATCCTGTCCTGACCCCCGGCTTGTTTGACCTCTCTGCGGACTGACCATTCCAATATTGACCCTGCGTGTGACCTGACTATCCTTTGCCTGCCGATTCTGTACCTCGCTGCCCCCACGGTGACAACTGGCTAGTTTGACTACGATCCGTCCATCCATCCATCCATCTTGCCTGGGCCTGCCGGCCTCCTCACATCTGGCTCTCCTCCTGTATCCATCCCTCTGCCACGGGCGGGATTGCTCGGAGGTCGTGACCTGGTCCTGGTCTGCTTCAAGTCCATCCCCACCATCAGGGGCCCTGGTGAACACGCAGACCGGGACTTAGACTCCACGCTCTGGGTATTCCTGTCCAGTGGGCTGCCAGAGGCACCACCTGGCGGATCCTTAACACACCTGCTACCAAGCTATCAGCACCCCTGCTTCTTTGAGTCTTGTACCTCTGTCACCACATCCTGGGGTGCTCAGACCAGATCCGCAAGGGAAGCTTTCTCTTCAACTCAGCCTCCAACCAAGGTACATGTAGGCACTATGAGCAGGAACTTGGGCGTGCTGGTATCTGACGAGCAGAAGCACAGCTGCAATTACAGGCAGTGAATATGAACAAACAAGGATGATCAGAAAGCAAGGTCAGAGGGAAAGCAAGGTTAGTAACAGGACCAAGATATATATCAGGAACTGGATAACAGGAACAAGACTGAAGATCATTCAGCAAAGAGCTAGTACAGAGCTCAAGTTCATCCCACTGGTGCATGCTAGAATGTGCAAGCAATGATGTACATGCAATCTGCCTTCAATGCCCACAGAGGTATGCACAGTTATGCGCACACGCATTAGCAAGACAGCTCACATTTTTATGTGTCCGAACATAAAAGAAACACATATACAAATGCACACTGCACTTTAATGGAAATCCCATCTCTCCTTTTGTCTTTTTTCAGTGGACACTCTGAACCATCTATAATTTGCTTTTTTGGCTTAACCTGTCAGATTCCTGAGGGCCAAGCACCACTCACACCCTTGCAATGCTTGTTTTATTTTGAGGGTAGAGGCTATATGACTTTCCTTGATCCCCGTTCCGGCAGGCAGCAGTGCTGTCCTTCTCTTTCCAAAGATTCAGCCTCTGGGCATTCCCTTGGGGTCACCATATACAATGCAGGGCAATTGGTCCTGCATTATATGTGGAGAGGTGAGTGTGCAAGCACAGTCTTGATCGACTTAGAAAGGTAGCTGCAGTGATATGGCCACACAGATAGAGGGAGCCTACCTGACCATAAATAAGGTATTTCACCTTATTCCAGCACCTCCAGAGCATTTAACCCTTGCAGTGCAGGGCCTCGCTGCAGGGGTATTTTTACTCTTTAGTATATCAGTAAGTTTTCACTTTAGCATATTGCAAGGTGCTTACACATTTCCACGCTGCTGTTTGCCTTTTCTTTTTACTACATCAGACCTGTTAAGGCCAGGGGTGGACTGACCATTTGGAAACTCGGGCACTGCCCGAGGGCCTGGGGTCAGTAGGGGGCCCCATGAGTTGCCCCTGGTACCTTTTTCATAGGCTTTTTTGAGTTTGAGCAAGGACACAGGGGCCCCATGATCCCCTATTGCCCGGGGGCCCCATGAGTTGTCAGTCCGCCCCTGGTTAAGGCTCAAGCACAGAATTTATAATGTTTGTTGTTTATCTGGTATATTTGTCTTGGCTGCACTTAGCAACCAATCCTTTGTTAATGGAACCTCTTTAACAGTGTTTGAACCTGTAAGGTTTCCATCCTCCCATCATCCCTCGCTCAAACAAGAAGCATCTTGTGAAGCTTAGGCTCCATTTTCAGGAGCACATGTGAAGCAGAAACAGCTTTAAAGCCCTGCCATTAGCACATGTCTACAGTGGGAAGTTACACTTATGTCTTGTCTCAGTGGCAGACCACTGAAACAAGACATAAGAACTGAATCTAGTTGTACCTAGTATTTGCTACAAACTTCAGTAACAGAAGACAATATTGTTATATTTAAAAGGGAAGTATGGGGCACTGGGAAAAAAGTTAATACTCACCTAGATGGATGCTGCATCTGTACCCTGCCACTTCTAAGTCTGAGAACTGAGCGATCAAAGGCCGCTGATTGTCCAGTTCTCAGCCTTAAGCAAGCAGAGAACTGGTGACTGTTCGTCACTGCTCTCTGTTCTGTCCCTTCAGTGTTCACTGGACAGCCAGGCTGTGCAGAGGGTGGGAGAGGCTGGCTCAGACTCTCAGGGACTCACTTAGAGTCTGAGCCAGCTATCGGTCCAGGCATCTGGGTGGATCCTGACCATATGGTTGGGATCTTTTCAGAGCCTGGACTGACTCTATGACATCAACTGACAGTGGGGTTAACACAATGAACTGCATTCCTGCAATCCCCAGGAGATGTACAACCAAAATAGCTTTGGCTATACTTGTCCATTAATGTGTTTTCCTGTATATGTCTTTCTATTTGTTCCCAGTTTCACCTCACCCTAATCATTTCAATAAATGCATGTCAAGCTCCACACAGGGTATCATGTAGCAAGGATTTAACCCATTGTCTCTGGGTTCTGAGAATGCTGTGCCCAATAAAGGCAAGCAGAGAATCAAGGACTGGTCAAGTCACTGGTATTTCCTGTAGGCTCTCAGCAGCTTATCATTTGCCTTTACTGACCTATCATGCCTTGTTCTGCACTGTGATTCCGTGTGGAGGTGGCCATGTTGGTAGAAGAAGGGCATTGATTTCTCATACCAGAGTTTCTGATGAATAATGGGGGAATATTAATGAAGCAGCTGGAGATATAGGAATACATATCCATAGAATAAATGAAGCAGAAGAAGAAGCAGGAGGATCCTCAGGTACAGCTTCCTCTCCAGCAACGAGCAATAGTTTAGTGATAAAACCTTACATTTCACTCCAAATCTAGTGGTACTAGTAATTAGAGGTAGCAGTGCCTTAGATGATCTTACGCTGCAAGCATAACTATGAGACTTTAGGCACAGATTGCCTAGGTAGCCTCACATTTCAGGAAATGCATTGCTATTTTTTTCTAAAGGAATTCAGAACAAACAATGTATTTTTTCAGAATACTGCATAAGCACAATTAACATTTCTAGATGTCTCCTATAACAAAGCAAAATTTTAAATGTTGAGTTCAAAAGTTAGTTTGCAAAAATACTCATTAGCATAAACAAAACACGTGTTTTTCCTTATGAAATATTTTTCCCTTTGTTGCATCTCAGTACTAATCATTTCTTCCAGCTTCTTTCAGCCACTTTAAATCTACATTTGCTTACTACAGCATAACTGCACATCATTGCTCTGGTTTGGCTTGCTGTTAAGCTGGCCATACATGGATTGAAATTCGGCCAGTTCAGCAGGGACCAGCTGAATTTTGATCCATGTGTGGACACTGTAGTTGAACAACAGTTGATCTACCGATCGACTTCTGTTCAACCACCCTAATGGGCTATAGTCTGCATTTCTGATCTGTGTATTCTGATGGTGAGGAAGTCTAATCATTGTCAGAAAACAAAAAACACAGCCATGGTGAATTCCCTCATTCACCTCGTATGTGTGAGTGGGGGAATTGGGTCAGGTTTTTTTATTCAACCCATTGGTTGAACAAAAAAAAAACTGACTTATCTATGGGCTGCATTGGTAAACATATTGTACCATGCCTTGGCACTGTATGTAGGCATAGATGCTCGTAACCTTCACCTTGGGCATGTGTGACACCAGGGGGTTTATTTACTAAAGCTGGAGAGTCCAAAATCAGACTCCCTTCTGCATAGAAACCAATCAGCTTCTAACCTCAGCTTGTTCAATGAAGCTTTGGCAATGAAACCTGGAAGCTAATTGGCTTCTATGCAGAAGGGAGTCTGATTTTGGACTCTTCAGCTTTAGTAAATAAACCCCCAGTTGTCTTTCTATAACAGGAAGTACCACAAAAAAGTAATTTGCACTAGTAAATATATAAAAATATCTATGAATCAAATATATAAATAATGCATAAATAAGAAATGTTCAAAAACAAAAAGTCCACACTTTAAAATATGTGACAAAAAAAAAGTGCACAAAAAATAAATAAATGTGACAATACCACCACCAGAAAATAAATAAACTCACCAGAGCTTATAAAACTAAACCATATATTGCTCTGGGAACAGTAGTATTAATAAATGATAAGTCATTCATAGATGTATCTTCAAGGAATAATATTCTGCAGAGCCCAGATCCACATAGACCAATTTCAGATGGAGCAAAATGCTTTCAAATCAAATATCATCAAGGAAATCCACTTCTCAAGAAAGCCACCTTTAAACGTATCCAAGGAGGGAAACGCCAGACACTCGGAAGAAACAGAAGAACTTCATGGTGCAGTATTATTAAAAACAACTTCTTTTATTAGGTACTCATTGCACTTAACTCAAAAGGTGTCCCAGCCGACACCAGCGTCAACAGCAATCACAGCAAACAGACCCAGCTACTTAGCACATGCGCAGTAGCTCCTGGGAAAACGTAATGACGTCACATCGATCAAGCTCCGCCCTACGTGTTTCGTCATCGACGTCCTCACGGAGCGGAATCCACTCCGTGAGGACGTCGATGACGAAACGCGTAGGGCGGAGCTTGATCGATGTGACGTCATTACGTTTTCCCACGAGCTACTGCACATGTGCTAAGTAGCTGGGTCTGTTTGCTGTGATTGCTGTTGACGCTGGTGTCGGCTGGGACACCTTTTGAGTTAAGTGCAATGAGTACCTAATAAAAGAAGTTGTTTTTAATAATACTGCACCATGAAGTTCTTCTGTTTCTTCCGAGTGTCTGGCGTTTCCCTCCTTGGATACGTTTAAAGGTGGCTTTCTTGAGAAGTGGATTTCCTTGATGATATTTGATTTGAAAGCATTTTGCTCCATCTGAAATTGGTCTTTGGGGATCTGGGCTCTGCAGAATATTATTCCTTGAAGATACATCTATGAATGACTTATCATTTATTAATACTACTGTTCCCAGAGCAATATATGGTTTAGTTTTATAAGCTCTGGTGAGTTTATTTATTTTCTGGTGGTGGTATTGTCACATTTATTTATTTTTTGTGCACGTTTTTTTTTGTCACATATTTTAAAGTGTGGACTTTTTGTTTTTGAACATTTCTTATTTATGCATTATTTATATATTTGATTCATAGATATTTTTATATATTTACTAGCGCAAATAACTTTTTTGTGGTATTTGTTACACCTTATTTATTTATGGTGATTTTTTGCAGCTGGTATATTATAGT